TATATTTTGTGACGTCTGTGACAGATGTTTGTTTTGAATGTTTGTGTGAATACTATGCAGCAGACACATTTTTACTAAAGTTCATCACACTTTAAGCATTTCACAATTTTAGAAATCAGAGTTGTAAAAACTTGACTATCAGAGCAAGTTTCCCCGTTGCCAATTTCTGAATTCTCTGGTGGCAAAAACAAATCGACACTTTTGGCAAATTGCACGTATCTAATTAGGGAATTTGTTTCACTCGACTATTTATTTGTTCAAATGCTTCTGACAATCTGTTGTTAATAACTACATTGCACATACACTTAAATTTGAAATGGTAAAACTCTGCATCTCTTTCATTGCACATAACATCACAAGTAAGTTAGAATCTTGATCAGTAGGAGGCGCTACTTCGGGTGACCACATATGGAGAAATGAGACTTCGGTCCTTAAATACAGATACAGAAAGAAAGCAAAGAAATATGATTTTCCGATTCCACTCATCTGACTAATGAAGCTCCACAGAGCTCAGTGGAAATCTATTTATGCAGCAATGTGTTTTAAGTCATTTCATACCTTTTACCCAGTATAACGTAAAAGCCCTTTGCTGTTTTTTATCACTGCTTTACATCTTACTTGTGCTTTGCAGTTCATCTAAGAACTATGCTTCAGCAACTTCTACTTGGTTGATATCAAATGCTTAAAGTGTCTTATTGGTCATTTCTTCTCAAATATGAGGAAAAGCATCAAAAAAGGAAAACAGAAAATTAGAAAACAACTTCTACAAGCCGCAGGAAATTTTATAAAGCATCTTGAATGGCGACAAAATGAATGAATGACTCATCAATAAATTCATACTCAACCCAACTTTCTTAGTAAATGTGTGAAAGTAAAAAAAAAAAAAGTTTTGAGTCTCCAGAGATATTGCTAGAACACTGTTTTGTTTTGCGGACTTTAAATGGAGAAGTGAAACAAACTGGATGCAACTCACACTTTTGTATGCATGTACCACACAAAATATTCAGGATCACAAAGTTATTCTCTCAAATATTCCATCCTTGTCCAGTAGTGTTTCATTACTTCAGTGTAATCATTGTGCTGATATTACATGTATTATTCAGCTTCGGGTACATCAGTGTCCCCTGTCTTTGGCTCCCAGATGTGAAACGGTAATAGAAATTAATGAGTCTCTCACACGCGCGCACATACACACACACACACACACACACACCAATCTTTTTTTCATTTGGTATCTTCTGAATGCTGATTGCTCTCCTATCCTAAGCTTTCCACTCATTTACCTTCATTCCTCTCTTTCCTTCCTAATCCTTTCAGTCTTCTTCATCTTCCTCCTCTCTTTTGGGTGCCTGGGTTTGCTTGTGTATTTTTTTTCCTTTTTTTTTTTTTTTTTTTAAACAAAGGCAACGCCTGACACTGAATGTCACACCAAGGTTATACCAGCTTGTCTGTGCGAGTACAAAAATCCCAACACTTTTCTGGCAAACATACACATTTGTACACAGCGCAACAAGCACTCCTGAAATTCCCACACGGCAACACCACACGCGTCTCGTCTTGTTGCTAAAATTAAAAGGCAAGCTCCCAGAAACGCGTTCATACTGAGATTAGTCGCGGCGAAGGAAAAATGGTAACGTCAAACACGAGACAAATGTTATTCCTGACTCCTTATGCAGGGGGATAAATATACCACAACATCTTTTTAAATGCAAGTTGGTTTTCAGGTAAGACTGTTTAAGAGAATATACACAGATGTGCATAAATATTAATGAGCTAGGATGGGTTATGAGACAACCTCTCTAACTTTGAAGAGCTCACATGCTACCCCTGTTTGCTTTTATTGTTGATGAATGGCAATAAGAAACTTACTGTTCAAAACAAGCAGCAAGAAAAAAGTACAGATATCAACTGGCAGTGGGGGAAACATAGCAAACATGTGGAAGAGGCCAAAATTAAATATTTTTTGGCATACATGCAAAACACAATGGATGGGCACAGAAAACCATCTTGCAAAGGAATGGCTCAGATTAAAGCCTATTAATGTGTTAAAATGGCCCAGTCAAAGTTTTGACCTAAATCCATAAGAGAAACTGAGGTAAAACTTGAATGACAGTCATGACCAGGTTTTTCTTTTTTTCTTTTTTTTTTCTTTTTTTACTGTTGCTGGGTGCAAACTGATGACTTTGAAATGGGGTCATTTTAATTTAAGAGCGTGTGGATGTGTGTTTTGCCCAAAAGGGCTTAAAATATTATAGTGCTCCCCATTTTTAATAGCACTAATAATCCCTGCACAGGCATCAGCTTGTCTCTGCTAACTTCAATATGAAAAACTATTTTCTGCACAGCAGACGTGCATAACAAGGTCAACCCTGCTTCCCATAAGTCCTGAAATGAAATAACAATGCTTCTTTCTTTGAGTCATTGGTGTATGACTCTTCTGAGTGAAGCCTTGGAAACAATTGGCTCAATAAAGTTGTTTTATTTCTGAGTGTTGTGGGCCTCTGTCCCAATAGAGACTCAAATCACCACCTAATCAGTCTGAAACATGGAAATGGTGCGATTCCTTCAGGATGAGCCTGAACTCACTAAAATCCTCCCTGATCAGACCAGTCACTCAGACACAGATTCTGTTTCGTCTGCCTGCATTTGGCGTTTCTCCCACACATCGGAAAACATACAAATTTGCAAACATAGCAGCCACTAGTAAATAAATAAGTTACTGTACCTCTGCGGCAATCATATTTATGTACAACAACAAAACTGAGCACAGAAGCACAATAGTGAGGCATCCTTTAGTCTTTCATCCCCACACTAAAGAATGTCTTTGTTGCACAATAGATAGACATCTATTGTGTCTATTTAAATGGACACAATATATGTCTGTTTTCAAAGACATCCTCCCATTAAGATGTCTTGCATAATATGTCAAGAACAAAATAAAGACCTGTAGCAGGGAGAAAATATTCACACCCTTACAGAGTTTTTTCAGTTTTTGCTTTTTTTTGTTTGTTTGTTTGTTTCAGATCAAAAAAGCAAATTTGAAATTTAGACAAAGCTAACCAAGGTAAACACAGGAATATGTTTTGAAATGATTGTGACATATATTAAGAGAATAAAGCAATGCCATCAATATATATGACCGTTGTTGCACAGGTTTGGTTCGGAAACATGTTTTTTCCTTTGCTGAATGAAATCATTATTGGCGAACTAGATTTTGTACTTATTCTGGTTATCTTGGTCTGATGTTAAAATTAGTCTCAAGATCTGAACATTTAGGTAAGACAAAAAAAAATTGAGAGAGTAAATACTTTTACATAGTATATTTGAAATGGCTTTGATGGATTAGATATTTAATTAGCGGAACATCCTACTGCTTAATTAGTTTGCTGAGAGGAGTGTTTCACTTTTATCTCTTCTCATCTCCTCATGAACAGGCAATTTCTCTGGATTGTAAGTCCCCCACAAATTTTGTGACATCTTTTATTTCTATTTTTTCATTTTACAAACTTCTATTGGACGACAACAAAACCAAAACAGTTTTGTCTTTATACAGAAAAATTGATCTTGGGCTAAGAACGAAATGGGCAACCTTTGAAATCTGAGAGTCTTCGTAAATCATACATAAATCAAAGTATTTTAGATGTGTGAGCTGCAGTTCTACATGCAAAGCCAATCATGCTTGTTAAATAAATTTCATAAAGTTCAGCATCAGCTATTTTTCCTCATTTATATTATAAATCATACGCTCCACTTCCATCCCCCCCATTATCTGAATGCTTTCATAAAGCTGTCACACCATATGTTGATTGAACATATTGTGCTTTCATAGAGACATACCACCCTTACACACACACACACACACACACACACACACACACACACACACACACACACGGCAACTCCAGCAAAATAGACATCTGAAAAGCCCGATGACAAAGTCTTTTAAGTGAAAAGGTGCATCTCTCTGTGAATGTCTGTGCTTATCGCTTTTCAGGAACAGCAAACCCTGTTTGTGGACATCCGCAGAGATTGGATCGCTTTGTCCTCCACCTCAGCCAGTAGCCGCACTATCTCCACCATTTCCCAGCAGTAAACTGGGCGACTGAGTAACTCGACGTTCCGGCATGTCAATCAATGAAGAAGGGAAACTGAAGGATTATTTCCTTTTCCTTTTAAAAAAAAAAAATAGTCATAGCATAAAACCTTCCCATAGGTCTCTGCCTGTTTCTCCGAAGCCTTTCTCTAGACTTTTGGGTATTTATTCACGGCGATTCTTTCTCAATCAAAACCACCAAGCACTCTATCTACTCTGGCATAGCTGCTGCTCTGCTTCCCCTGACCTTTTTGTTCAGACTGTCCTGCAGGCATCACCTACTAATCTACTTCCCTAGTTTTGGACACAACTGCTTTATCAGCTTTCTGGCAGGCTTCAGCCCAGCCAATGCAATTCAATTTCTACCATCCTCACCTTCGTAAGGTGAAAACGTCAGCCTTAAACAACTCTGCTGACTGCTGACTGCAGAGTTGTTTCAACTAGTAAAATAACCCTATTTTATTTTTTTAAGCTCGTTTTACTTTCCTTTTCTCTTTGGTTAAATAAGAACCTTCTAATATGATATTATATAGTTCGCATTGCTCCTTGGACATTGTGCGTATACTGGAGCAAAGAAATGTGAATAGTAGCCATGGGTCGGATTGCAGTATCAAAGTGGGGGGGAAAAAAAGGCCCAGTTTCAAAACCATGAGTTTAGAAATCACTGAATACAGCTGAAGTTCAATATATGTTTTTCTTCTTTGTGTTCTAAAAATACAGTAACAATAATAAACAAATATTACGCTAAAATAACTTCGATAATAAATGTGTTGGAAGGCTCTCGAAGCCGTAGGATTAATTGTTGCTTTCTTGTTTTAAATAAAGAAAATGTAACATCTTATGTAAACACCTTGGTATCTTGGTAGCATCATCATACCTTAAGATTCTTTTAAGGGTTTAGTTTTACCTTCAGTGTGGATAGCAGACACATAGCTCCAGTTGTATCTTTTGACAATGTCCACCATGGCTCGTGCTTGCTGAGCATCTGAAGGGACCACTCGCATAAAATATTTATAAAGGCTCTGAAATAAAGCAAAGAATGAGTGGAATAGTGAATAAATTAGCAATTAACTGAGGTGAAATTGTATTAACTAATCCACGTTTCAATTTATCAACCAATTCCCTCTGAGACAGGCTGGCTCACCTTGTCACTGAGGTCCATACTGGTGGCAGAGTAGGCGATCTGCGGTATGTTGAAAAGCTGCAGCAGGTTCTGCACCTGGATGGCCACAGAGCTCGACCCCGGTCCAATTAAACCCACAATGGGTTTCTTCCCCCGCATCGGAGTAGCAGATGGGTCTGCACACTTCATTGTCGCTCCTCCTCCTCCGCCGCCACCTCCTCCTCCTCCTCCCCACGAGGTCATACCGCCCCACTCCTCAGCCTCGTCGGAGGACACAAGAGAATCCCGTATGAACTCGATGCTCTGCTCCAGAGCCACAGCCGAGTGCCAACACGAGTCCCGGATCTCGCAGCCCAGAGTGATGTTGGGAAGGATGTTTTGGTCGGCGTTGATCCGGTCCAACGTATGCATCATGGCCTCCACCCTCTGGATGCCATACTGCTCACGAACCGCGCCACACTTGCGCTCATGAACCTGAGCAGGCAGAATACAAAAACAAATTCATAGTCGTAGTGCTATGCTTTATTTTTTATCATAAAAAATGACCCGATTAAGAAAAGACAATAGTTAGTGCTTCACCAATTTTCAAACTCAAACTTGATTGCGTTGCTTAATGGGCTGTTGTTTATGGGGAGTTTTTTGTTGGTATTTTTCTTTCTGTCCAATTATTCGTAATGGGATGAAGAAAGACAAAATTTCAATGGGTGAGTATCGTTTACTAAAGCAACTAATGGAAATGAAATGCTCATAGTGCTACAGAAGACAAAAAGGTTTCCATTTTCATTTCTCTGGTAAGCAATATTAGGATTCTCTCTAAAGTTATATCTAAATATTTGGCCACAAAAATAACTGGTAAATGGACTGACAATAATTTAATGTTTATCTCTTCATTAAAGGGACAGTTTAGAATTTTTAAAATAAGGTTTTATTAAAATATTATGAGCAGTTATCTTCTCTCCAGTGCGTAACGTTCTTATGTTTTCATTTAGTGTAAATCTAGATTAGTTGTTTCTGAAGGTTAATGCTAATGGCTAATCTGGGGCCAAAGTAGAGGCTAACACTGTTTTAAAACTACGCTAACAACAAAAACACAGTTGCGGTTTATCTAAACATCATTTTCTAAACTGTTAAACAATCATAACTTTTGCACTAGGTTATAATTTACCATTAGACTTATGATTATTGACACAGAAAATGAAGTTGGTAGTTGATGCACCACCACTAAGCAACCTCACAGGATTAAGGTGAAACATTTAAAGCATTTCCCTTCAATAAAAAGGTGAATGTACTGTAATTGTTTAAGTGAAATATGTATCATTGGTCTTTACTATGACTTACTTTTAGACAGTTATTCACATTAGATATACACAGGAAGATGATTGGTTGCACAGCACCTAATGCATCCTTTTCAGATGTCAATGGTACAGCATTTACATTTAAAAAAATTAAGATTTCTGTTGTTTTAACAAAGTATAAGTTCCCTTTAGGCTTGGTTCTTCTGGAATCAACTGTTAGCTTTTGTCTCTGGGACCATCTGATCTAGATTTATATTAATTGAAGATGCAGAAAGAGTTATTTAGTCCATATCAGACATTACCTGCTCTCATCCATCTAAAATCTTTCAGAAATTTTGAACCATGCCTTTAAAATCAAATTTGAATTGCTTTGGGTGTTGTAGTGAAATTCAGGCAAGGACAAAACTGCAGGCCTACAACTTTATAGCACTGAAACCATGTTGCAGATATACACAAAAAACAACAATTCACCTTATCAGCAGGAGGCTGGTGATGGACAGAGAACAAAGCTCCAATGATGATGTCTCCAGGCATGTGTGCCACGACTCGGCGTTCAGTGGAGTCAGCTCCTTCACACCACGCCCAAACTGACAAAAGCAGCAGAAGCCACAGCATCATCATGGTCCACTGAGGTAATGAAGCACAGGCAGCTCTCAGATTGTACGTGCACGAGTGTCACAAGGTACTAGTGTTCGTCGAACAGCTTGGGTGACCATGTCAAGAGCCGATGGCACGGTGGAAGGCTTGAAATAAAACTCATCTCAGTATTATCCATTTCCAACTTGGTTTTCAGGGTGTTTGTTGTATGTCAAGGGGGTAGCATTAGTGGGACAGCTGAGACAGTTGCTTCAATGCAACCTGGAAGATGCAGGAGAGAGTCTGACAAAGATTTTACTGATGGTTGACACAACTCAACAATCCCCCAGTTACCAGGCTGAGACGGTTTCCACTGGAACAGGTCAATGAAAGACATGTTCCCAGAAAGCTGTGGGAAGAAAGAACTCAATTAGTCTCAAAGCAATTCAATATACCTTATTTTCAGGATTATAGAGCGCACCTCACTATAATACGGAGCCCTCCAGGAGACATGAGGATTTTTTTTTCCTTTTGCGTTCCCTCGCAATACTTTTGCGTTCGCTCGCAATAATCTATTGATCAGTTCATGCGGCATAATTGAATACTGTAAGCCTTTTTTACGGTGGCCGCCGTACTTTCTGCTTTAATGCAAGCTTATAAGGTTTTTCCATGGACTATTGAGTTATTATCGTGGGGTAATAAGTCATCTGATTGTGTCTCTGTTGTGTTCGTAGTCTGAATGGTTTAAAGGGCTGCTTTCAGTGCCGTTCCATCTGAGTCTGAACAGACATAAACATGCAGTAAATAAATTGATTTTCAATCAGTTTTTTGCACCAAAGTGTTAATAATAAGCACAAACGTTTTGCGAGGGAACGCAAAAGAAAAAAAATTCCTCATGTCCCCCTGGAGGGTTCCGTACTATAAGACGCACCTACAAATTTTTTTGGAAAAAAAAAAAAAAAAAAAAAAAAAAAAAAAAGGAAAAAAAAAAAAAAAAAAACCACCAAAAAAAAACCCCCGGGTATCCCCCCCCCCCCC